AGAGATTCCTTTTTCAACAGCAATTTCCAAGCCATCTCTAATAGCCCATAATTCCGCAACAATACTTGTGGTCCATTCAATGCTGCGCGAGAAGCCAACCATCCATCCGCCAAAATGATTACGTAGCAAGCCTCTAGCCCTAGCCATACTAGGATTACTAAGAGCAGAACCATCGGTATTTAATTTAACAAAACCTGGGGGAGGGGACCAACCAACAACAGCAGTGGTTTTAGGTTGAAAGGTAGTAAGAGTAGGTTGGAGTCTAATAAATTCCTGGCTTTTTCCAGAGTAGAATATTTCAAATCAAAAATAGAGATATATTTGTTATCATGCACAAGCTGATTTTTAGAATACCAGATGGACCAAACAACATATGAAAAAATAGTAGGTCAAGTGGAAGATGATATAGGAGAATTATGTACACCAACATTGACCTTTAATCCAGCTTTTGAAATCAAGGTTTTGATTGTAGGCTGAAATGGATTGAGGAATAATAGAGTTCCAAAACAGTGCAGCATACTGACATTCCTTAAAAATATGAATGAGAGTTTCAGAACCATTTCTATGTCTAGGGCATCTATTGTCAGAAGCCACACCCCATTGGGCAAGAGTATCAAAGGTGAGGATTCTACCATGCATAAGAAAGTAATCATCATTGTTTTGTTCATTTCAAATGTGATTGTTGTTTTATTAGCAAAAAAAAAAAAGGAAAAAAAAAGTGTGATTGTTGTTTTACAATTTTCGTCCTGCAGTGCTTCAAATTTTATAATTGATGGACCGACAACACTTTAATACGAGGGGACCGGTCTCTAATTACTATGGTTATAAATAGTGGCGGATTTAGGACTTAGATAAGGTGGCGGTAAGGTGGCTGAATTTATCGACATTGATATTAAGTTTGTGTTTAAAATATTATTTTTTGATTTATTTTAGTTGTGTTAATATAATTTTTATATAAAGTTTAATTTGACAATTTTATTTAATAAATAGATGATAATTAAAAATTTTTTCTTTTTGAATATATTGTTTGTTGAATATTTTTACTTAGAGTAAATTTTTTTTTTAGTTGTTATTAATTTATTTATATAAAATCATTAAATTAATTAACATAAAATTGATGGAATTGGATAACTAAAAAGGTCATCAAAGAAAGTAATACATAATTATAAAACTGTAAATTTATGTCTAAAATCAAACTTAATCATGCTTAATGTGAAATAAATTGCCCTTCAAAATTTTTGGTGATTTTTGAATAATTATTTAGTTGTATTTGTGAGAGAAAAACTATAATAAAATGATAAAATAAAATAAAAATATTTGATTTAGTAAAAATGCTTGAGTTAGAGGTAAAATTTTAATATTTGATTTAAAAAAAATAGATATTAATAACTAAAATAAATCTTTTAGACTAATTTTAAGACTAAAAAAGTGATGATCTAAAGATTTCTTTAGAAAAAGTAGAGAAATATTAAAATTTTAAAAATCTTTTTATTAATTTCTTCGCCAAAAATATTAAAAATTAAAAGGTCATTTTTTGTAGTTAATATATTAACCTTAAAGAGTTTATAATTGTTATGTCAATATTTTATTTTAAATTTAATGATAAGATTTACAAAAAGAGTAATAATAATTATTTCATAAATATTAAAAATAATTAAGTAAAAAAATAAAATTTAAAAACAAAAATCTTAAAATATGAAATTAAGGGACTAATTTTAAAAATTTTCAAAAGACTAAGGGGGCTCTGACCCCTAGTCCAAATGTGGCTCAGCCACTTATTATACAATGTATAATTCATGTAAGATAGATTATACATCCCTTTTGTATTTTTTAAAAAAATTATTTTAGTCTTATTTTTTTATATAAAAAATCATTTTTATTAAAAAGAGGGAGTCAATTTCCATTTTTTTTAAGCCAAAAACCAAGTGGTCAGCTTTCCGCAGTCATAACTATTTTTTGGACCCTTTATTCTGTCTTTATAACTTTGTAAAATCAAGAAATGTACCAAATACCACCGTAATATTCCTTTTTTGTGTGTTTAAAAATTACAGAATTTAATAAATTGACTGAAAATTTTGTAATAGTAGTCGAGGAGAAGGCAGGAGTACTGGAGCTAGCTAGAGAAGATGCGAGGGGAGATATTCCAAAATTCACACAAACATCAAGGCAACAACATTTGCCTTCAAGGAATGATTCAACAATTAAGGGTTTATTTAAATAAAAATTAGTAAGAGAAAGGGAAGGAAATGAAAGAGAAGTGAAGGACAGGAAATTATCAGTGTTAATTTTGTTTGGATAAATAAAA